TTAACATTTCTGCAATGGTATCTTTAATATCAACATTTGATTTCAGAATGTGAAAATTCTGAGTACTTTTGACAACAATGAGTACTGACGAGTTTGCATTTTGATATCTATTTCTATTTTCTTTTAGTCCGTACCTACTGATCGCTTCAATTTGCCTACGAATATCAAAACCATGTTTAGGGCAAGGACAGAAATCACCCTAATTTCGGAAACCACATCTGGTTTTGCTTGTAGAGCAGCGACTGGCACAAAATAGGTGTGTGGTCTTCAGCTTCCAAAGCAGGTCCAGAACATCCCCACTCCTGACGCTCAGGCCTGGAGTGTATGTCCCAGCACATGAGGGCGGCACCTAGTCACATGCTTCCAACCAACACATGTGGCCAAAGTGACATGACATCACTTCCCAGCTTAGATTATAAAAGCGTCCTCCCCCCACCCCCCGCTCCAGTCTCCCTCCCCCATCCTTCCTCCCTCCCGTCCTCTCCCTTGTAAAGCCAGTTTCCCAGTGGAGGGGCCCATGTGGCATGAGCTCAGGCAGGCCGGGCAATGGCCAGGGAGGAGCTGCAGCCCACCAGCAGCCAGGACACGGCTCTGCCCCAATTCATGACCATATAAACTGCGAGGTAAAAAATGTCATTTGAAGCCACAAAGCACTAGGGTACTTTGTCACACAGCGATAGGTAACTAACTCGCACTGCGAAAAGACGGACAGGAGGACAGTTCTAGAATCGAGCAATGCCTCATTGCATGAGATAGAATGCGTGTTGCAAGCAGAGCAGAGGACGGGTCTGTGGGCAGAAAAGGCCTGAAGGGAGCAGAAACATGGGACAGGCAGCAGATCGGCCGTCTCAGAGTGACTCTCCTGGTCGGGTTACAACACAGGGACTTGCTATGACACCAGCTCAGGGGAACCTGGCCCTTCTAAGGGGCTGCTGTGCTTCTCTGCTTTGGAAAACGCCATTTTCAGAGCTGTGTTTGCTGATGTAGAACCTGAGTGAGTGCGTTCTGAGCTGATCTGGCCCACCAGTGCCTAGTTTAAGAGCTCAGTTTAAAACCACGGCCTCCTATAAACTCTGTCTAACAATTCTTAATCCAACACTCCTAGCCCGGTGGATGAATATTTACATCAAGGCAACAGTGGGGGAATGTGGTGGTGGTCTGAGTTGTAGAAAAATGAGGGTCTGGCCGGGCGCGGTGGCTCACACCTGTAATCCCAGCACTTTGGGAGGCCGAGGGGGGTGGATCCCACCTGTAATCCCAGCACTTCCGGAGACCGAGGGGGGTGGATCCCACCTGTAATCCCAGCACTTCCAGAGGCCGAGGGGGGTGGATCCCACCTGTAATCCCAGCACTTCCAGAGGCTGAGGCAGGTGGATTACACCTGTAATCCCAGCACTTCCGGAGGCTGAGGGGGGTGGATCCCACCTGTAATCCCAGCACTTCCAGAGGTCGAGGGGGGTGGATCCCACCTGTAATCCCAGCACTTCCAGAGGCTGAGGCAGGTGGATTACACCTGTAATCCCAGCACTTCCGGAGGCTGAGGGGGGTGGATCCCACCTGTAATCCCAGCACTTCCAGAGGCCGAGGGGGGTGGATCCCACCTGTAATCCCAGCACTTCCGGAGGCTGAGGGGGGTGGATCCCACCTGTAATCCCAGCACTTCCGGAGGCTGAGGGGGGTGGATCCCACCTGTAATCCCAGCACTTCCGGAGGCTGAGGGGGGTGGATCCCACCTGTAATCCCAGCACTTCCGGAGGCTGAGGGGGGTGGATCCCACCTGTAATCCCAGCACTTTGGGAGGCCGAATCGGGTGGTTCACAAGGTCAGGAGTCTGAGACCAGCCTGACCACATGGTGAAACCCCAACTCCACTAAAAATACAAAAATCAGCCAGGCGTGGTGGTGTGCACCTGTAATCCCAGCTACTTGGGAGGCTGAGGCAGGAGAATCGCTTGAAACCGGGAGATGGAGGTTGCAGTGAGCCAAGATCACACCACTGCACTCCAGCCCAGGCGATAGTGCAAGACTCTGTCTCAAAAAAAAAAAAAAAAAAAAAAAAAAAACCTGAGGGTCCCACCAAATTCCATCTAATCCGAAATCCTGCCTGGGCTCTGTGAAGGAAGGCTTTACTGAAGAGATTGGGGATGTTAGAACGGGGCTGAAAGATGGGAGCCACTTTGCCAGGTTGAGGAGAGCTCCCAGACACAAGAAGGAGCATGAGCAGGTCAGGTTCATATGGAACAACACAGTTATTGAGCATCTGATCAGGGCCGGTCAGTGAGCCCCCGGCTGGAGAAAGGGACACAAGGCCCCACCCTTGACAGCTCATGACCTAGTGCAGCATGCAAGCCTCCAGGCAGTATGGCCACAGCAGCCCCTCCAACCAGTTGGCACGTGTCTGCAGGCGCTTCCTGGCCAAGCCTGGGGGAGGCCCTAGACCAGCAGAGAGTGATGCAGAAAGCTTCCCAGGACAGGCCAGCCTGACTCAGGCTGTCGGACAGGGCAGTGAGAGTCATCCGGGCAGCTGGGAGCTGAGCATTCCCATGGAAGGGAGCAGCTCTGCCCAGGGTGGAGCCCCAAGGGCATGTGGAGAGACTGACGCCCATGCGCCAGGAGTTTGGAGTTGAGCCTGGAATTGCAGGGGGCCTGAAGCAAGGAGCAGCTCTGGCAGAAATGCACCAGCAAGCGTGGTGATGTGTGCGCACAGTGGAGAGCAGGAGGAGCCAGGGACAGCACCCAGGGAGGGCGAGCCAGCTGCAACAGCAGCACCGCACCACGGGGCATCGGGCATCCTCTGAGGCTTGCAGCAGAGGGCCAGCAGGCCCCTTGGCCCGTTCTGGAGGGCAGCTTGGCAGCAGTGTGGAAGAGGGGTGGAGGAGGATGTGTGCAAGCCAGCGAGCAGCAGGAGGGCTGCAGCGTCCGGGCGAGGGCCCCAGTGGCTGCAGCGTCCGGGCAAGGGCGCCAGTGGCAGGGGGAGCTCCAGCTGCCTCCTCCCACTCACATCCCAGAAGCTCCAACTTTCAATCATTTCATATACTTGGCTCCTGTGAAAGGCCTTAGAGGAACGAAGGGGGGTTTGGGAGCTTCTCTACTGAAATTCTCTGGGGTACGGGACAGACGCTGCTGAGAGGGGATGCAGAGGGGACCCACAGGGGCAGCTGCTTGCATTCAGTCAGGCCACAGTATCCTGTGTCCTCACACGCAGACCCGGCCTTTGAGTAACCTCATTCGCTGAGGTTAGCTTGGGTTCCCTGCCTCAGTTTCCTCTGAAGAAATGAAATCACAAGAAACAAGGCTTAAAGAGGAGACCTGCATTGCACATAGAACAGGAGTGCCTGGAAGGTGCCACCCTTCCTTCACCGGCATGAAGGACCCCTCAGGAGAGGTCTCACGGCCCCGCAAGTACCAGAACGCCTCACCCAGGGAGGGACGGCAAAGGCCTCCCCCTGCAGGCCTCGAGGTCCTGGGGCTGACGGGACCTCTCCTCTTGCTATGTCTTCCTGGAGGCTGAGAGAGGAGTTCAGAGCTCAGACTGCATGCTGCTAGGATCACCTGGCCACATATCTGGTGACCGGACACGTGCAGAAAGCAAACGACACAAGAAGAAAGATGATTCCAGGTGCCTCAGGCTTTGACGACTGGCAGAGGTAGTAAATGAACACAATTCTAACAAGAAAACTAAAAAGGGGAAGTTGATCGAAGAACGAGTTAGGATGTTCCATCAAGAATTCACTGATGAGACCCAGCAATCCCATTACTGGGTATATATCCAAAGGACTATAAATCGTTCTACTACAAGGACACATGCACACGAATGTTCATTGCAGCACTGTTTACAATAGCAAAGACCTGGAACCAACCCAAATGCCCAATGATGATAGACTGGACTGGAAAAATGTGGCACATATACACCATGGAATATTATGCAGCAAGCAGAAATGATGAGTTCGTGTCGTTTATAGGGACATGGATGAATCTGGAGAACGTCATCCTCAGCAAACTGACACAAGAACAGAAAATGAAACACCACATATTCTCACTCATAGGCGGGTGATGAAAAATGAGAACACATGGACACAGAGAGGGGAGTACTAAACACTGGGGTCTATAGGGGGGAAAGGGGAGGGCCAGTGGGAGGGGGAGGTGGGGAGGGATTGCCTGTGGAGAAATGCCAAATGTGGGTGAAGGGAAGAAAGCAAACAAAACACACTGCCATGTGTGTACCTATGCAACTGTATTGCATGCTCTGCTCATGTACCCCAAAACCTAAAATGCAATTGAAAAAAAAAAAAAAAAAAAGAATTCACTGATGAGAAGCGTTTACCGGACTGCCACACCGTGGATCTAGGACAATGGCAGAAATCACGTCTGCGGCCTCGGCTTAAAAAGGTTTACGCTGGCTGGGCATGCGGGCTCACACCTGTAATCCCAGGAATTTGAGAGGCCAAGGCAGGATGACTGCTTGAGGTCAGGAATTCAACACCAGCTGGGCAACATGGGAAAATCCTGTCTCTACCAAAAACACAAAACTTAGCCAGGAATGGTGGCATGTGTCTGTGGTCCCAGCCACTTCGGAGGCTGAGACGAGAGGTTTGCTTGAGCCTGGGAAGAGGAAGATGCCCAAGATTGCATCACTGTGTGCCAGCCTGGGAGACAGAGACCAACCCTTCCTCAAAAAAAAAAAAAAAAAAAAAAAAGGTTTAGGTTAAAAAGCACACATAAAAAAAACTAAACAAGATGCTAAAATCGTAGGAGTTTTATAATAAGTCTTGTGAATGGTACACATAACATCTAAATTTGTCTCTTTTCAGTGGTTTTTAGTTCATTCAACACTGCAAAAGAGAGAAAAAAATTCAATAAATATGGTCCACAAATGCTGTTTGAACATCGGACACTGGGAGAGTTGAGCACCTCACAGGGCCAGAGCCTGCTCCTCACAGAAACAGGGTGCTGCTGGTCAGTTTCATCAGGACAGAGTCATTCAGAACAATTTCAGGAGGAGGAGACAGGAGAACCAACTTCACATGGCCCCTTCTTATCTCACGTAAATTCCTTTCCAACGCCTAAACCTTAATTGCTTTCCTCATTTAAATGTCTTTTTCAAAATCTCTACCGTGTGATTGTGCAGCCGAAAAAGAGAGAAGAGAGAAAGGAAAACGGTATTTTAATACTTCGATAACTCCAATTCATTTCCCTGCACGGTTCCAAGGACGCGTCTATCTTTAGACTGCTGTATTAAAGGGAGGAGGGGAGGAATGAGAGCCTGAAGAAACAGAGGTGAGTGATTGCAAATCACGGGCAAAATTAACTGCTGCTAGGAAATGTGAAAACAGCTTCTTCTGTATTATAAAATCAGATTTCCCTTCTGTATCACAGACTCACAGAATCATGGGACATTTGCCTTGAATGAGATCAGAGAGGCCACCCCTGCGCGTCTTTCCCTCCCAGCCAACCCCAGCACCCTCGGTTTCCTCTGGGCACACCCCATGACTTGGGAGCAGCCGGTGCCCTGTGGGAGCCATTTGATTTGCCCACCCTGTCCCCTGGATGAATTTCAAAGGCTCTTCAAGGGACAAGGAGGTTGCAGGTAGGGTGGCTTCTGTGGAGGGGGAGCCTGGCAGCCCAGCACCTATCAGGGCCACCCAGAACATAGTAGGTGGACATGCGCCCTCTGAACCCCCACCTGCCCAGGACACTCACTCGTCCTGACAGGCTCAGCTCTTCTCTGCCCTCTGGTGCTGCGAGGCACCCCCAAATGCCTGGTGTGGGCTGACAGGCCAATGGAAACTTGGCAAAGGTGAGGAGAGGGGAACCCAGAATTAAGTGGGGTGGAGGGAGCAGAAAAGGGAAGAAAAGTGACCCAGCAAGGAGGACATTCCTGGGAACATGAAATAAGAGGCGAATTCCCCTCAGTGAGTGGCTGCGTACGTCTAGGGCAGCTCCAATGTCAGGTTCCAGGGTCACGGAGGGTGGACCGTCAGTGCATCCTCAACTACAGACGAGGGGCGCCTCCTCCACACCGACAGGGCCTGGTCTTTACGTTAACACAGGCCTCAGAAACACGGTTCTGCCTCAAAACAGACTAGGGAAAGCCGAGGAAAGAAAGTTCTGTGCTTCCCTGACAGCTGCGTGCACTGTCACCAAACAGTGGGTCCTACTTGGAGCTGAGCTGGAAAATGGATTCGGGGGCTGAAGAATCAAACTTGAGGCCGTGAAATGCTCCTTGTGACGTCCTCGTAACACTTCATGTTGTGGAGCTGGGGGTCACCGGCTGCAGCTTCCTCCTGATCAGGGACTCCTTATACACAATTGCTGAGTGGCACACAGCTAGGAAATGGCAGGGTCGCCAGGCCCGCCGCCCTCCTGTACCTTCCTGCCCTGCTCAGTGGGGGAAGCCCAGTGTTCCCGTAGCGGGCAGCCCCATGGCCTAGCTTGGTCTAGCGCCACATCCTGTCCTCCGTGTGGCAAAGAGCTTCTGCTTGGCCAGTCTTGAGTCAGGCCCCGATCCTTTTCTACGTCCATTAGCAAAATCCCCAGCTAAGTCAGTCTGATACCGAGGCACGCTGATGGGCCTTCAGCAGAAACCCCTGGAGTCTGGTTCAGCCAGAAGTGCCCCCAGACCTGACATCTCCTCTGAGTCACTTTCCACCCACTGACCCTCTGCCCCTTGGCCGCCAATGCCCACTCGTCCCTGCTGTGTTTGTAACTGGAGTCTCTTTTTCCCTTTGCAATTGTCCTGAATAAAATGTGCTGTCACCAACTTGACTTCTGCCGGCTCTGCTTTTCTTTGCCAAGGCACCACCTGCTCACAGTGCACATACCCTCAGACTCCACCCGTGAAGGCACGCGGCACACCCTTCCCTCTCTCGGGAGGTAAGTTTTTCCTGTCTGCTCTTTGCTGATGTTCCCATGGCCGAGCTCCAGCTCTTCTGCGTCACTCTGACATCCCCAACTACCTGACGCACCCGCCCCCTACCCTCTGCCCTTCTGGAGGGGTGCTCCCTGAACCCCTGAGGCCACGTGCATGGCTCCCACATGCCCGAGACCCGGAGAGGCTGGTTGATCCTGGAGAATGTGAGGAGGTCGTTCACAGAGTGGGAAAGGTATCGACACCTTCTGTGCCACTTTCCTGGCTTTTCTGGCTGCTCTGCCAACCCTAACACAGGGCAGGGAAGCTGGCAGTGTCCAGGACTGGTCAGTGCCAAGAAAGAGCCTGGTGAGAAGCACCAGGGCCCATGGGTGGCGGACACACCTGCCACTGGACAGGAGAGATGAGAAAGTAATCCAACTCCCAGCCTCGGAATTTGTTGCCTCAAAAGAGTGCCTGGGCTGGGGGGTAAGAAGACCTTGGTACATAATGCCATGACTGAGAAACCCTGCGGGCACGAAGGAAAGTTGTCCCTCACATTCATGTCCCCTGTACCACGTAAGAACAGAAAGAAAGTGCCACAGAAACAGAGAGTGGCCCTCGCCATACGCTGCACCTGCTGGAACCCTGAGCTTGGACTTGTGGGTTTTAGAACTGTGTGCAGTAAATGTGTGCAGTGTGTAAATTACCCAGTCTAAGGTATTTGTTATAACAGCCAACCAGACTGAGACAGGGCAGCTCTGGGGCTAGGTACGTAGCATGGACCGGGACAGCTCTCGACCTTGCTAAGCAGCTTCACAGCGAAATGCTGCAGGCTCTTCCCCCGCATCTGCCAGCCAGAGCCTGGCTGGGAACCTGTGTGTTGGGGACAGAGTGAGGGCGGGGTGAAATGCAGCTCCCAGGCAAGCAGCAAGTCAGTGGCGTGCGGAAAGCGGAACTCCAATACAGCAAGAACAAACACGGTCATTTCCAATTCCAGCTCCCTTTCCAGCCTCATGCATTTCAAGGAAACCACTTCTCTTCCAACTTCAGGCAGCCAGGAAGAGCAGACAGTAAAACACAGATAAGACAGCACAGGCACAGAGGGAAGTGGGTGGGGGGAGTCTCTTGAGTAACTGCCAAAGTTCACCTGCATACAATGGGTCCCAGTAAAACAGTAAAGCAGGGCCTTAATAAGCACATTCCTTTCCCCTCAGGTGCACTGAGATAGGGAGGCTAAAAGCAGACTCCGGGGACACGCCTGCAGAGGCAGAAGGAAGTGTGGGAACAGAACACAACTCTCCCTCCCAGCTAAGCACAGCAAAGAGACACAGAAGCAGGCCAGGCCTCTGATAAACTCTCCACCCTGAAGCCTTAAAAACTCTTAGTCTAGGCCGGGCGCAGTGGCTCACGCCTGTAATCCCAGCACTTCGGGAGGCCGAGGCGGGTAGATCATGAGGTCAAGAGATCGAAACCATCCTGGTCAACATGGTGAAACCCCGTCTCTACTAAAAATACAAAAAATTAGCTGGGCATGGTGGCGCGTGCCTGTAATCCCAGCTACTCGGGAGGCTGAGGCAGGAGAATTGCCTGAACCCAGGAGGCGGAGGTTGCGGTGAGCCGAGATCACGCCATTGCACTCCAGCCTGGGTAACAAGAGCAAAACTCCGTCTCAAAACAAAAATAACCCTGTTAGTCTACAGTGCGCCTCTGATCTAACTCAGCCGGGAGCTCCTCTCATGTTTATTTAAAACAAACCCATGCCTGTTGACTGCTCAGCCATCCTTCATGTTTCTCTCTTCTTTCATCTCTTCCACACAGGCAGGACTTGTGAGATGCAGGCTAGACCTGTGTTCACGCCAGGCTGCAATACCGCAGCACCTCTGCCCAGGGCTCACACGACAGACGTGTATTCTCCCCGGGTTCTGGATGGTGAAGGCTGACATCAAGGTGTCGGCAAGGGCTGGTGCTCTCTGGGGTGGTGAGGGAGAAGCTGCTCCAGGGCTCTGCTATTTGCTCGTGTCTTTGGTGTTTGTTGGATTATAGAGGCACCACTCTGATCTCTGCCTCCTTCTGCACATGTTCTCCCTGTAAGCATGTGAGTCATCTCCAAACCTCCCCTCTTCATAAGGACATCAGACACATTGCAGAACTGCAGAATGACCCTAATGAATCACATCTGCAATGACCCTGCCACATTCTAAGGAACTGGAGGATAGGACTTCAACCTAGACATTTTGTGGGGGACATAATTCAATCTATAAAAGGTTCCATCCACAAGATTCCCAGCTGTATTCTGCTGTCTCCAAGGAACTAAGGGCAGGGAAGGCTGGCCTTTCAACCCCTCACACGGTCAGGGGACTGACTGACTGACTGATCGATTGATTTAGAGACAGAGTCTTGCTGTGTCTCTCAGGCTGGAGTGCAATGATGCATTCTCAGCTCACCGCAACCTCCGCCTCCCAAGTTCAAGCAATGCTCCTGCCTCAGCCTCCTGAGTAGCTGGGATTACAGGTGTGTGCCACCATGCCCAGCTAATTTTTGTATTTTTAGTAGAGACGGGGTTTCACCATGTTGGTCAGGTGGGTTTCACCATGTTGGTCAGGCTGGTCTCAAACTCCTGACTTTGTGATCTGCCGGCCTCGGCCTCCTGAAGTGCTGGGATTACAGGCGTGAGCCACCACACCCAGCCAGGCATTATTTTTAAAAGTGAAACACATCACACAATTTCCCCGTTCAGCACCTTGCATAGGCTTCTTCCTGAGCCCAGAACAAAATCAGGCGCCTTACAATGGTCTGCAGGGCTCCCCTATGATCTGGCGCCTAGGAGTTCTCATATCTAAGCTCCCTCCCGTCTCCTGCCCAGCCCAAATCCCATGCAAGGAAACCTTCCTGGGGTGGCCACACCCAGGTGTGTAATTTCTTTATAGAACTGCCCACAATTTGAAATAACAGTGCGCATGTTTGTTTACTCGACGTCGTACCTGAAAGGAACTGAAGCCTCATGAACCATGCAGCTTTACTCTTTCCCTTCACTGCTGTTCCCAATACCTGGCTCAGCAGCTCACACGAAGCAGGTGCTCACATTGATTGGATGAGCAAATGCTGTCAGGATGTGAGTAACCCAGGACTTCTCCCACTCCTCAACGCCTATGTGCATCCAATCATGTCTTGGAGGTTGTGTTTCTCCAGTCCACACCCTCTCCTGCAGCCCACTGCCAGTCTTCAGACTCACAACTCACCACTTCTCATCCTGGGATTTCACAATTTCCCTCACGTCCCCATAACTCAGCCTCACCAGCCCCCACTGCCACCCTCCACAGTGCTGCTGGAGGAGCTGCTCTGAAAGGTGCATGCAACCGCCCCCACGGGGCCCGTAACAATGCCTCATCCTGTCCTTCCCTAATCCCGCTACCTGCACACGCCCTGGCCGTGGCAAGCTCCACGGGGCTCCCTGCCGCTTGGCAAGTGGGACCTGTGCAGGGGCTGGCAGCAAACCTGCCAAGGTGAAATGGGAGAGTTTCTTCAAATGTGCTAATAGGGGGCCCAATCCAAGAGCCCCACCTTTCCGCAAAAGGCATTTTATGGAACATAAAGACGTGCTCTTGTCAGAGGTCCATTATGTGGTTCACGTTGTGAAGAATGAGGAAAATCAATTGTGAAACATCCGACTGAAGCGGAAAAGTTGCAGATGAAAGGAAAACAAGCATTCACACATTTGAAGAAGTCAGTGCACGAGATCGCTGCTAACAAAGATCTGACATCTCAGTGTCCCTAAATCGCTGCAAAGTTCCCATTCGCTCCCACAAAGGACAACGCCCCATCCCACCAGGGAGTCTTGAATGACATTTTACATAAAATGGTGAGAATTTCTAAGACACCGGAGGACAAAGAAAAGAGGACATAGACTTTGAGTCTAAAATCCAGTGGTTTTACGCATCAGATGTGCCTTTTAGCAGAGCCCACCTGGGTTCCCTTCTTCCCGGGGGGGAGACGGGTATCTGATGGTCCTTTCCTCTTCGAGAAGGGCGGCCTGTGGACTCTCACAGGAGTCTCCTAAGCTGCACTGCTCTATTACCCAGGAGCTTGGGTGCTGACAGCCGTGGCCTCACAGGTTTAATGTCAGGATTATATCCTCGAAAGAGCAGAAGCCCTGGACACAGTGTTAGCTAACACTACCGGAGCAAGACAAGTCTTTTAACTAAGGAAAGTGCGGCCTTAAGACTCTGTGCTCTGTGTGGGCACATAGAGCAGGTGCGTGTTCACACAGGAAAACAGACTAACGGGCATGCACGTGAGAGGCAGAGGGAGACAAGGACGTGTATCCATGCGCTCACTTGACAACATCCGGACTGGATGCTTGGGGTAGGTGAGCGGCCAAAAAGATATGTGGGCCTTGGTCCGGGGCTCATGGGCAGCCCCAGACTCAGTGGATCCCAGGCTTGGAGCCCTTTAAATACCATCTTCTTTCTCGTTCTTGGAGATTTTTTTAATTTGCATGGATCATTCCCACATACCTTGTATGGCTCCTCCAGTATTTCTCTGTTGTTTTACTTACTCACATGTCTTTCTAATATTACTGCTCCTACTGTTATTAGTGTGGAAAGTTATTCCTCCAGTGATGAACCAAATCTTACACACACACACTTATCACTTCTTTTTTTAAAATAAAATAAATAACATAGTGACCATGGGGCCATGGGCAGAGTCCTTAATTTGGCTCCAGATAAAATGAGAGCATTAAGAGAACTGGCCCTGAGTTACACGCACGGCCTGAATTCTCCAGGGACAGACTCTAACTCTGCAGGAAGAGGACGACACCACAGCCACGAAACCAGAGGAGACATATGCTTTCCAGGAATAGAAAACATCAGATCGAGGCATCAACACGGGCAGACAC